TCTGGGCACAAACACACTGACAGATGTGTCCCTGGTGTCCTCTGCAAGCAATCCCACATTATAGGGGGCACTGACTCCCAGAYAGGGGGAAAGCTCCTATTCTCTTTCAGCTTCTCCGAGTGTATAACATGGGATCCCTTCACCCTCACAGAGGCTGGGGGAGGCCTTGCTAAGCTAAGTGTTCCTAGCAGAAGAGCAAGGGAGTATTTTCATTTATTCATCTCCCTCACTACCATGTGGCACCACGGTCCCTTATGACAGTACAGGGATAAGATCCTGAGATAAGATCCTCCCTACTCTCAATTTTCTCTTCTTACTTCTTCAGACCATTTTCTGTTGCCTCRATTTCCCTTGCCTGCGGGTTCCTTGAACCTGGCTTTCCCATACAACCCTTCCCTTATGTCTGCCTTCAGCAAATGCTGCATCCTGAGTTTCCCTCTGCCTTCCCACACTCTGATATTTACACTGGGAGTTATACGCCCCCAGCTCTAATCTGATCCTCATGGAACAGCAGGTTCATTTAATCACCAGCTCAAAAATTGCAAACACATTTTATTAGACTTATCTCTCTTAACGATACAGTGATAGCACACTACAGTACCATTTAGAGCAAGCTACTACTGCTAACCCAGCTGACTCCTGGCTTCTTTATAGGGAAATAAAGTCAAGGAAATGACACACGGTGTCACTTCATAAACCCAAAAAGAACACAGCGCGGCACTTCCTAACTACAGCTCCCCAAAGGGATGTGTGATTCACAGATAAAGGCACTCCCCGACCCAGGAGCTCTGTCTGTGAGCAGAAAAATGCTTTATTCTCTTCTGGTCTGATTCCAAAGTCTGGGATTCTGGGATCTATGAACATAATGCACTGTGTCTAGAAAAGCTCGGTTTTGGTCTGTGTTCCAAAGTCTGGGCACTATGAATGTAATGTACTATGTCTAGAAAAACTCAGACTGCATTCCTGAATGCATTTCTCATGGGAGTAAGAGAATTTTTTTATTTTTTTGTTTTCCGTAACAACATCATTAAATGGATCATAAAGAGTAAGCATGAAATACCCTGAGGAAGGCTACGGTGAACCATGTGATGGAAGGCTTTTGATTGATTTGCATGGAATCCCACTMGCACATGGTTTCTTACATTCTGGAAAATTTGCATCCCTTCCCGGCCCCCTCACCCCTGTTCTACYGCAGCCTGGTAATTCTGTCACCCGCCTCTTCAAATGTACTTAGTATAAATTTTGTATTTCAAATGTACCAACAGATGTACCCAGCCATTAGAGGTGGCTTCTCATAACCCTGAAAAAYGCCCAATTTGTTGTTTCCCCTTTTCTCTGTGAAATGTTTCAATTCCAAACCAGCTCTGACGAGGAATAGGCTTTTACAGTGAATGCCACCTTTTGTTTCACCATTTACTATTTTGGCTGCAGTTCATACTAAGCTTTCCATAGGGAAGTTGCAGCTAGGTGCAGAGAACTCAGCCAGAATGAATGGAAAAAGAAAACACAGTAGAATTTAACTTCATAAGTAAAACCAAAATCAAACATGAAGTTCAATTGACGCAAATTACTGCAAAATCAGTTAGCAGTGAAATCAATCTAGAACAATATCCAGATATAAAACCTACTGAAAGTTTAGCACCAAAAGAATCATCTGGACCATCACTATCTTGGGATAGTGCACAATTTCCAAACAACTTTGAATTTCTCTGTCATGTAGATAAAGTAAACTATGTGTTCATCGCAGGCTCTGCCCAACACATTTATTTTCATCTGAGAAATGTTAAGGCATATCTAGTAATACATTTGCCAATGTATTTCCTCATCCATGCCATTTCCCCTGCAGAAGCAGCCCAGGAAAAAAAAAATCTGAGTAATCATACAGCCATAAAACTCAAAACTTATAAGCATCTCCAGGTTCTGTGGTATCTCAGTTTCTGTGTAAGGCTGAAATCCCAAAATACAGACTGTGTTCAAGACTACAAAAATAAAATATTTTAAAAGGTTTTTCTTTGCAGAATTGGCTAAAACACTGTTCTCATAGGCAGATGGAATAACCTTTCCTTTCCCTGATCACTAATGTTCAGTTGGCATGAAGTCACTTTTGTCACTTGCACTTTCTCCTTCCTGCTTATGACTGCAGACTGCTGTTCCAGGGCAGGAGGCTGCCTAGCAATGATAGAAAGGTGAGCTTACAACACCCTGTGCCTACAGCAAATCCTGCAGAATGACAGCCCAGGACCTCAGAGAGTGCAAGTTACATTCACATCAAGGTGTCAGCAAACTCCAGGATTTTGGGCACTCAGAAGTTATGGGATTAGTTCTAATGGAAACTATCCATAGCTTATCCATAGGAGAAGCTAATCACTTGGGCCTCAAGGTCTTGTTTCCAGGTTCCTTGGGTTGGTTACACAGTGGGATTGCAGCGACAGACAAGGTGTAGCTGATACAAGGCGAAGGTATCTTCTTATGTAAAGCACAGCTGTAACTTAATTCTCTGTTTTTCATAGTTTACATGGTCAAAATTGGTCTGAAACTTTATTAGAAATGTTTCATACTGGGAAATGTTTCACACTGGGAGCAGCTTTATTTCCACGACTGGAGGAGAACTTATTTGGCTGCATAAAGATACAGAAATGTAATTTTAAAAACTGTTTATCAGACTCTGGCACTTTTCCTGCTTGTGTAATTCAAAAAGGATCTCAGTAAAGAAAATTCAATTTGGCAATCCATTAACATAGATTTGATGCTCTCTCTGTTCATCTCTTGATGTCTCACCCCTTTCAGAAAAATGAAAATAACTCTTGGTAAAAGAGTGGCTGTTCCCTCTTATTAGTCCAGGATATTGGCAATTATTAAAASCCTAGGAAATCTTCTGAAGCTCTGCTGACTCATGGTGGCCAAGAAGTTACTTGTTAACTCCATACCAAGGCAGAGGAGGGAGAGAAACATAAAGAGAAAAAGCCACAGAACAYGCAAAGTTTGGGAAGAAGGCTCAGTGCCAGCTGTACACTAAGTAGCACCAATTCTTCAGCAGAAAGATTTGGCTGTTATTGAAAGCTTTACATGCTGTGTTTGAACTAGGTGAAGATTCAGGCCTAATTTCAGGCCACTTAAGGTTTGGAACCTAAAAGAGTCATTTCAATAAAGAGTTTCCCTCTCTCAGACATCTACTGTCAAYGGAGGAAGAGCAGCAGTTCCAAAAGATGAATTGACTTAGCAAAGGTCTGAACTGTCTTCTTCCTGCTCCATCAGGAACAGAGACACCCCAAGGCAGTGATGGAAAGCCTGTACCAGGACACCAGACTGGCACGTGACACCGCTGTCAGCAGAACAGCTCAGTTCCCAGTGCACTCTGCAGTTTGTTGCTGCCTCCTCGACCCTACAGACCRGACTGCAGAGCCCCAAACAAGCTGMAGCAGAGAATAGGAGATGGTGACACTGACAGAGATTAATGGAGCAATTAACCCCTTCTTTCTCCACCACTCTGACCCAATGGGAAGAATTTTCACAGAATGTGCCTTGATGCAGGAATGTATTTCTGACATGAAAGATGTTCATTCGTAGTTGTTCGTCAGGAGTGACTGTGCTCCTCATTTGGGGTCTCCAGTTTGGTGCATTATTACTAGTGGGATTACTGCAAGTCTGGTCATTCACACCCTAAGTACTAGCAAAGGTGTCATTTTAATGCCTGGAATATTTTAGGTTTCACCTYATTTTAAGTTACTCTGTTTTCACAGCAGTGAATAATAAAAGTCAGAACACATTATTCCAAGGGTAAGGATTCTGCCCCAGAAAGGCACAGTAGATCTCGGCACCGTCTGGTTGCATTTGAGGACTGCACTCTGCACTCCTCTTTCCAGCAGCAGCAAACTTCCCTTCAGCCTCCTGCCCATTCTGGCATGACAAAGAGCGAGGATTTCCCACTTCCCCACATCATCTGTGATCATGTATTTCTTGGTAAAGGAAGATTGGTGTGGTGTATTTGCWGTAACACCATCTTACCCTTGCTCTGCCCAGATGAGAGGATTTGTTCTTTCCCTACAGTGCACAGGGCAGAAAGGAAGACTAAGGAAAGACAAGGCAGCTCTTTAGGTGATGCATGAGGACTGTCCAGCATCACACATATAAAAAGCTCAGTATAGTGCACCTTCACATAAAATCCTGTCCATGTCCTCAGTTACAGTAAAAACAATTCACCTCATTAAGGTACTACACCAAGCTGCTTAGTTGCTGTCTTGTAAACGTTCTGGAAACTTGTGGTTGGAGTGTTAGTGTTGTGGAACAAAGTGACAGCAAGTTGGGAAATAAATGAGCACAGTACTTTCTTCTAACCTCCTGGCACTGTGCCTTTTAACAGAGAAGAAGAAAGCAAAAAGGCAAGATGTCAGCTCCAAAACATTTTTCATTGTGTAAAATATAGTGTCCACACTAAAGCACGTGGTAAGAGACACACTGAGAGGGCTGATACTTCACTGGAAAATGGCGAGTGATTGCAAAAAGGTTATGTGAACACATGTCTAATGCAGTAAAAAAAAAAAAAAAAAAAAAAAAAAAAAAAAAAAATTCCTTCGGACCAAGATTTTGTATCTATGTCCTACAAATGTCACGTCAGCCCTTGAGACGAAAGTCCCGGCAGCCGGCGCTGAGCTGTTAGGCTGAGGGATGCAGAGCAGCTCTGGCAGCACGCAGAGAGGGTCGGGATAGTCCGGCACCCCTCGGCAGCGCACACGGCAGTGCCCACTGCGCAGCTCGCAGCGGCGGTAGCAGCGCCCGCTCTCCYCCGAGAGCTCGCTCATTTGCAAGGGAAGGCAGGCACTGCACATGCCCGCGGTGCCGCTGCCGCTGGGGGCAGCTTTACATAAGGCTGCGCCCGCCGCCAGCCCGCCACAGTCGGACGGAGCTCTCGGCATGCGAGCGCGGCAGCGCCGGAGCCGCGTCCCGGGCCGGGCTCCCCGCACCTGCCGCGCCCGGCCGGCAGCGCAGCCAGCGAGCCGCGGGCCCATGGAATACAGGGGTGGCAGCTCCCAGAGCTGAGCGCTGCGGGCAGCACCGACCAACATGCTCTGCTAYAAAGCAACGTTTTAAAAGCCAGGTTCCTAACTAGAAAGATGCAAAACCGTAATATCCATGAAGATCCTATTACCTAGGAAGAATTTGACGTTTTGCTGCGAATGCTGTGTTGGGATTGATTTATTCTTGGAGTGTTCTGCACGGCTGGCAAAGAATAATGTTCCAAAATCGGTCCATCTCCCAAGGGGTCCAATTTTTCTTCCTGGGTGTCAGCGAGCCCTGACTCACTACAGTGCAGCTGACAGGGGCTGCCATGCTTGTGGCACACTAAGCAAAAAACAAAAGACCTAAGGACGACCTTAGAACATCACAAAGGATGGGTATGTTTTTCATGTTATCTTTTTAATTTATAGTTCATAGTTATTGAATAGTCTGTGCTTTAATTACTCCATAGACTTACCTTGATGTGATTTGTTATTATACTTAAATGGCTTAGGGATTACACCTTTTACCCAACTGTTTTTCAGTACTTATATCAAGGTATTCTTAAGAAAAAAAAAATAGCTGAGTAAAAAAAATGTGAAAAGTAATCAAGTCGAGCTAGGGCTTTGTAAATGATTGTTGAAGTAAAAGATTTTAGCATGATTGAAAGAAATGACTGATGTGTGGGGGGATAACTTTTCTAAGTTGTTTTTATTTCCAGGTTTCAATGTAATTAGGCTACTGAGCGGATCAGCTGTAGCTCTGGTAATAGCCCCTACTGTATTACTGACAATGCTTTCTTCTGCTGAACGAGGATGCCCTAAGGGCTGTAGGTGTGAAGGCAAAATGGTATATTGTGAATCTCAGAAATTGCAGGAGATTCCCTCAAGTATATCTGCTGGTTGTTTAGGTTTGTCCCTTCGATATAACAGCCTCCAAAAACTAAAATACAATCAATTTAAAGGTCTTAATCAACTCACCTGGCTCTATTTAGACCATAACCACATCAGCAATATTGACGAAAATGCTTTCAGTGGAATACGCAGACTAAAAGAGTTGATCTTGAGTTCMAACAGAATCTCCTATTTTCTTAATAATACCTTCAGACCTGTGACAAATCTCCGGAATTTGGATCTGTCATACAATCAGCTGCAGTCTCTGGGATCTGAACAGTTCAGGGGCTTAAGGAAGCTGCTGAGTTTACATTTGCGGTCCAATTCCCTAAGAAACATCCCTGTTCGAATATTTCAAGATTGTAGGAACCTTGAACTGTTGGACCTGGGTTATAATCGCATCCGAAGTTTAGCAAGGAATGTCTTTGCAGGTATGATCAGACTGAAAGAGCTTCACCTGGAGCACAATCAATTTTCTAAGCTCAACCTGGCACTTTTTCCAAGGCTAGTCAGCCTTCAGAATCTTTATTTACAATGGAATAAAATCAGTGTGATAGGACAAACTATGTCCTGGACCTGGAGCTCGTTACAAAGACTTGATTTATCTGGCAATGAAATAGAAGCTTTCAGTGGACCTAGTGTTTTTCAGTGTGTGCCCAATTTACAGCGCCTCAACCTGGATTCAAACAAGCTCACATTTATTGGTCAAGAAATTTTGGATTCTTGGATATCTCTCAATGACATCAGCCTTGCTGGGAATATATGGGAATGCAGCAGAAACATTTGCTCTCTGGTAAACTGGCTTAAAAGTTTTAAAGGGCTGAGGGAAAATACAATTATTTGTGCCAGCCCCAAAGAGCTGCAAGGGGTGAATGTTATTGATGCAGTGAAAAACTACAGCATCTGTGGCAAGAGTACCACGGAAAGGTTTGAACTAGCACGAGCTCTCCCAAAGCCAACRTTTAAACCAAAACTCACCAGGCCTAAACATGACAGCAAGCCCCCTCTGCCCCCAACCATCGGAGCCACCGAATCGAGCTCCGAGCCCGAGCACGACACGGAACACATCTCCTTCCATAAAATCATAGCAGGCAGCGTGGCTCTTTTCCTGTCTGTGCTGGTGATCCTGCTGGTGATCTATGTGTCATGGAAGCGTTACCCTGCCAGCATGAAGCAGCTGCAGCAGCGCTCTCTCATGCGAAGGCACAGGAAAAAGAAAAGACAGTCGCTGAAGCAAATGACTCCAAGCACACAGGAATTTTATGTAGATTACAAACCCACCAACACTGAAACCAGTGAGATGCTGCTGAATGGAACAGGACCCTGCACGTATAACAAATCAGGCTCCAGGGAATGCGAGGTATGAACCATTGTGATAAAAGAGCTTTTAAAAGCTGGGAAATAGTGGTGCTTTATTGAACTCTAGGGACTATAAAGGGAACGTTTTTCTCACTTTTCTGGCACAGCTCTTCCATGTCTCTTTTTTGTACATTCATAATACTGGTCATTTTACTCTCATACATAATCAACTCATTGAAATTTAAATACCGCAATCAATGTGAAGCCTGAGCTCTGGTTTAATACAATACCTATTGTACAAACCTTCTACTGATTTCATTAAAGTCTCTCTTGTTTTTAAATAGAAAACTTCTTTCATAAGTAATCCACTGCACCTGCACCAACTGTGCCTCTGTTTAGAGAAAAAAATGACAACAATGAAAAAAAAAAAAAAATCAAACTCAGTGTGTGTTCCCCTCTGCCTCCCCAAGCCCARTCCTCGCTCTAAAACTCACTTTTTGAACCCAAAACAAAGTAGAGACACAGGTACTGTRGCATCATATGAATTCTGAGTTGTCTGAGGAGAGAGATGGTGCAGGAATAGCTCTGAAAAAATGCCTGATTGCTGCCCARCACAAGAGAGACTAAAAAGCCCCCTTAGCACATGAGGTATCACACCAGAAGCAAAGCAGAGGGAAACCTAGGCTTAATAAAATATTAAAAATAAAAAGGTACAGGGGCATTTACTGTACTGCATTATAACACAGCATTTCTAGGGCTGATAACTAGCAATTGAAACCTGTTTATGTGACTTCATACAAAAGGTGCCAGTGTTTATCCCTACATCCAGTTGCCTTTCAGAAAGTAGTCAAAAGGCATTCATTAGATGAGGAGCAGAAATTCCTTATTGATGCAATTAGAGGAACTCAAATGTGCAGCAGCAAAAGCAAGACCACTTCCTGCACACATTTGTTTCAGCTCTCATTAGGAATTCTCTTTTCAAGGCTGTCAAAGGCATTAATGTAGCTGAGGAAACCATTAAAATCTGTAATTTTCTTCTATTTCTGTTTATTTGCTGGGTTAGGCWTGCTAAGGTTGTGTGTTATGTTTTGCACAGTGTCTGTCTAGTAACTAAATAAAGCTTCCTTATTTAAAATGCCAAACACTRTGCATTTTAGACATAGTACAGCTGCAAAGAGCTTTCAGAGAAAACTGGTTACTCACTGACCTGAGAGGAGTGCACCCAAAAATCCTTACATAAATCAGTGACAAATTATTTTTCTCTCTCACCAAAACCCTAATGACATTACAGGATTCACAGGTACTCAGTTTTAATGTCTAGTCATACACCAGTTGTTCTGGGCAAAATACAGATTTGTAATCCAGCTATTCCCTGCCTCCCTTCTCCCAAAATGATGTATTTTGTTGATTGCAGAAGAATATAATATCCCCCATATTTGCAAATAAAACATACATCTGATTTTTATTATCAGGGCAGCAGGGTAGGAAATAATAGAGCAGCACCTTTATAGAAGCAAATCAGTAATTTCATTATCTCTATTTTGTATCTTGATTTGTCTTAGCAAACTGTACATCTTCAATCACTTGGGAGGGAATGTTTCTACAAAGCAGTTTCACTGCAGCAGATTAGAAAAAGCAAAGCCTTAGCAGAAGATTCTCCTGAATTGTTACTGGAAAAAAACCAATCACAGACAATCACCTTGAAATATGCTCCATACAATGAAAACAAAGCTAGAAACATCTCTTAAAAGAACTAATACACTTGACGGGGTTTGTATTGGGAGTTTTTTTTGTGTAAAGAAAGCATTCTCATTTTTAAAGACTGTCATGAGGAAATAGCTGAGGGTAGAAGCTTGAGACTGTACTGAGCCCTGCAACAGAGATCCCATTTTCCTGAGCACAAGGACCCCACATCATTAACAATACAAGTGCTTGAGACACTTCAGCAGCACAGCACAGTTGTACCTGAGCTGTACCTTGGAAGTTGCTATTAAAAAGTCAATACACATTTAATTATCTTAGTGCTATAGGATTCAGTTTTCTACCAGCAGGTCTTGGTTATCTCTGTACTGAAGGATTAGAGTTTGCTATAAACTTTATGTTAAGAACCATCCTTGTACTTCCAGAGGCTTTCMCCTCTGCAGTGGTGACTAATACTAGGCACAGCCAAAAGCCAAAACAAAAGACATTTGRTCCAAAACATATGGATGTTCATCTATACATACAAACATACACACCCACACGTGTGTGTCTACATATGTAAATATATCAATRTGTATAAAAAGAAAATTTTGATATTTAGTTTTAGAAGTGCTAACTGCAATCAGAAGATAATTTCATACTATTACTTTAGAATTTTTGTTATTCAAAAATATTCTTCTAAAATTTCTTAATGGACTGTGATTGTGARTGAGTTGTCACTAACTGAGTTGGACTTTACATGGTTCCTTTTATGTTTCTTTAATGCCTTGTTCTAAACAATACTGAGAAAGAACCAGTCCACAACCTCCTTCAGAAAGCCATATCTGTAAAATCRTCACCAGCTTCCTTTGAAAAATATTCAAATATAGGCATGAAAAATAAAATATGGCCAGTCTGCTATTAATCATGGATGGATAACAAAAATATAATAAAAATCCAGCATGTTGATATTCATGCAGATCAACTAATTAATTCATTGCCTGAAAAGCTACAGGTGCAGGTATTCCCAAACACACAGCACACACTGGTGAGTGTGTRACTGCTGCCATCATAACTGGTAATGAAGCCACTGTCTGACTACAAAAACACATCCCCAGTGTAACTCTCTGGAACTCATTGCCCCAGGCCTGTGAGCCAAGGTGTTAAATGCCACTTTAGTGCCCATGGCTTTTTTAAACCATGTCCACAGCACTTTAAAACACTTTATGAACCCCATGCTTTCATCTAGGCAAAATCCACATAAACTGAGCTAAACTGAGCTAAACTGAGCTAAACTGAGCCTCACAACTGTAAAATGAAACATTCTGGAAGTGACTTGTTTTGGGTGGCAAGGCCACCAGAGTCACAAATTCTAACAATCTTGTGGGAATGACTCAGTCTTAGCTGATCAACTTTTAGTCCCTGCAAAAGGCTGCCCTWCTCCTGAATCCAAATGAAGTGCTGAAGTCTCAGATGTTCCAGCAAAGAAATTTCTCCTTTGCTTCTCTCTAATATCTAAAATCCTGATCCTACTTGGTCTTGGGTTTTGGATATTTTGGTRCCAGTCTCACAAAACTGTTAAAACCTTGCTTGGGTGATGCCAAGGAATCCTCAGAGGATGTCMAAGTAAGAGCCACAGCAGCTGTGATGGCTCTCACAAACCTGTGAGCCTTCACACAGGCATTTCAGGCACTAAGGTGAGGAAGGAGATGTGACTGAGCCAATGACCTGGCTCTCCCTTACTGGAGATGACACCACCTACAKATTCCAATTTTAGGAGAGCAGCGATGGGTTTTGAAGGTGTTTGSGGTTTGTTTTGTTGTGAGTTTTTGGGATTTTTAATCATTTACTRTTCCATTTCCTGAGTGTGCTGGGGCTACCACTGGAAGACTAGTGCTTTTCAAGCCACAAAATGCAGGATTCTTCCACACACATTGTTATTTTCATTGGTTTTGCAGTCTACATTCATTTAAACAATGTTAAGACAAATGTTAGGTGAAATCACCAGACTGCTTCATTTTATTGTACCACCCCAGCAATTTCACAGGAAATTTGGACTTTCTCTGTGAGACACTGTAGAAACACCTTTCAACAATCTCTTAATATGAATTGTTTGCAAGGGATGTTGAGAAGAGAGAGATCATGGCAGATAGACATGATTTGAGGTAGTTTGTTTGATCACACACCAGTTGAGCACTGGGAATGTAATCCACTCTCCTCACACCAAGACATCTTCCTAGCCAGTGGATCTTGGGCTCTCAGAGACTAGCTCTTGGAATATTCAAGTGCTRTTTCAGAGTAAGAAACCACACAGAATGCACATTTTGGAAAAAGAATATAACGAGTGTACTAAGCAAATTTGAGGAGACTGGTAATGTTCATTCACTGTGTTGAGATTACCTCCAGCAACTGCAGAGTAAGAGAATAATAATGAGAACAAGTGGCTTGAGTATAATGACTGCAAGCTTCTCTGCTGGCTGGTTTTCATGACTCACTATCTGCACTTCCACAGTCATCTCAGCTGAAGGCTTGGCAATGCTCTCTTATTGCTGTGGAATGTGAACCTTGATATAAAATTCAATTGCAAAATGAACATAAATGTACAGTATTCCTGCAAACACAATTAGAAATTTTCAGTTTGCTGCAAGCAAATGGTCATTGCTGTCAGCCACTCAACGCTAGATAAATATTCCATGGATGAATTTCTGTGGAACAATAGTGACATCCAGTGGGTAGGGAGCTTAATCACAGGTATCTCCTGCATGTATCAGTTCCCACAGAGATGTGTTTTCCTTTTCACTTAGCAACCTTCTGTATCACATTGCAGAAGTATCAAACCCKTGCAGCATACTAAGTACTCAGCTGGATCTGTGCAGAGGAGCCATAACCTGAATGTAGTGGATACATGGAGAAAATAAGGGTAGATGAAAGCTGGCAGGAAATGGTCTATCCAGTGTGTAAGTCACTACTGCCAGCAAAAGGCAAGGAGTGCACAAGTGTGCAGGGGTAGGAGCTCTAACAAGTTTGTGACCACTGAGTTAGAACTTAAAACTTAAAAAACACCACTTTACTAGGCTAGAAAATAAACTCAGGCCACAAACAACTCATTCTACTGCCTAACAACAAAAGATTACAGATTTTTTTTGTTTTGTTTTGTTTATTTTTACAATAATGAGAGAAAGTTATTATTAGACAGATATTATTAGACATCAAAGGGAAGGGCAATTCACCACYTGGGAGCAAGTCAAAGTGAGAGCTTCCTCTCAGAAACACACAATATATAAAGAGAAAAGGAGCAAATGAGGGAAGGTAAATTCACAAACAATAGTAAAGTCACACAAAGGGAAACAGATGACATGAATRTGCAGTGTTTTTGCTTGG